TATATTAAAGGGATTAGATTATAAAATTAACGTAGCAGAGTAGAACCAAATCAATTAAGTTGTGGCTTAAGTGAATTACGAAAGGAAAAAGATACATTGAAAATTAACGAGACTCCTTAAATATGTTGTAATACAAAACACAACATAGTGTTAAAAGTAAGGAGCATTACTTCGTAATTGTTAATTGCATGCGGTTAATGAAATTATGGTAAAGTTGGGAAGGTTGGTCTGCGAGCCGTTGAAATTATAGTGGTTAGAAATAGCAGCGACGATAAATTCATAGTAGGAGCACTTTTATAACTATTAGAATAGCTTGGAAATTATTCAAATTAAAATATCCGGCATTCATGCAAGTGAAGCAGGGAAAGAAACTTTTCCAGATTATTAAATTATCCACAATCGAATATTAAACAAAAATAGAAGAAACGGAAGCTAAATTAGTTAATTTTAAGAGAAATATGTAAGTTGTATTACGTTGTAATAATAAAAACCACAATTTCTTGTAATTTAATATATTATCTTTAGCTCGACGAATTTAAAATAAAATCATTGTGGTAACTGGATGTTTTTTCGAGAGTTTTTTCTCATTTTTATAACACTGAATACGATTTGGGAGATATTAAAAGGAATAAATTTTGAACTCGCTCTCATGTGGGGCAAACCCTCTCCTGCACTCTGTAAATCTTCCAGGCAGGCTCATTAATTAAAATAGATTCAGCCGAATTGACAATTGTGAACATCGTTTTATTAAATTTTTACAAACTGATTAGCAGAAAAAGTAATTAGCTAGTAATTAAATGAAGCAACCATCTTTATTTTAACATACTTTATCAGACTCTTCAAATAAGCCACCTGGAAGCGGGCGCATCACAAGGCAGCGCACTTGGACCAATCCTTTACCTCCTCTACACCGCATCCGACTTTAATCTCCTTATCGTCTTAACCTGATCCCACTAGGAGGTTTTGGAATATGTCCTGCAAGTAGTCGAATGGACTAAACATTTGCGAATGAAAATTAATGGAGATAAATTAAAGAATACGGTAATAAAGTAATAAATTACAAAACATACAGTAATTGTAATTAGTTTGGTATTTGAAAGATTCATTATATACACATACAAATTGAATACTGTTCAAAATATAATGGCATGGCCAAAGAATAGAGTCATTCTAATCCAAAATCCTCAGAACCATACACTACGTTTTCAACATGACTTACTAACTTCACAATGACTTAAAAATCCCTATCGTATTCAATAGAAACCACCCCTATAACCCCTCGAGGAGGCAGAAGCGGAACTTACTTCTAGTCGCAACATGATTGGAGATCAAGTTGAATTTCTTGTATTTCAGCCCCAGTGTTTATTGAGATGTGTAAGAAGACTTGAGACTTTATTAACCGTTGTCTGAAAATTCTTCAGAACCCATAGGCTAGAGGAAGTGTTCCCAAGTCTCAAATTTCAGTTGCTTGGATCTTCTTGAAATCTGTAAAAGCAGAACCTCACAATTCATAAGATGTCAACCGGTTGTGACTCAAATTTTTATTGTCTTGATGTTCTTTACGTGTGGAGAAGCTGGAGAATCCCATAGGCCACAGGAAGTCACAAACCTCTAATGATTGGTTCTTCGTTATACAAATGTTCAGGATCTGCCGAACTCCTTAGTACACAAGAAGTTCCTCCTAAGTCATAGACTTCTATTGCTTGTACCTTCTTTATATGTGTAGGAGATGCAGAACCACATAACCTACAGAAAGTGCTCATAAGCCTTAAATCTCTATCATTGAATTAATAATAAGACAATGATTTTGCAGTGCTGTTTGATTGTCGTATTTCGCTCACCAGATATTTTTTATGTGCAGGCCATTCAGGTTAGAATCAACCCAGGTATTTCAAATCGTTGGCGTTGCTACTTTTAGGAGGGACTTGAATTAAACAACTGTAGATTTTTGGAGATTGATTGTTGCTCTCCTCGTGTTGCGCCATTTTTTTATTTTAAGACAGATATGTATCTTTTTTCTTGGGGCAGATTCGGTACCCGTTTTAAGTGCAATTAAGATTGGGTTTGGGCCATAAAGATATTGTCTGTTACAGGTAGGTCATGGGTGAGGCACAGGTACAAAAAAGGGCCTGATGTAAGTGCTCGATGTCGACAAGGCGAGGTTGCAGTAGAATTACAAATAGGTAAATAGGACAAGAAAGTATTTTTCTGAGAAAGAAATAGCAGCTTAATGGAAATTCTAGCTTCTAAAATTCTTCTTCTATTAATCTATTTTATGTTTTAAATACAACTTTATTACCTTTAGAATTTCTATAGGGTGATTGCGATTACTTATCGAGGTGAAAGGTGTAATGAAGAGTTTTGAGTTCAGTGGAGCGATTTCCACCCGATCCATTTTGACAAAACTATGATAGATCAGGGCCCGCGTCGCTAATTGTGATAAAGATATATTAAATTTTCGCCTTGCAGTTACTCTCAAAATTAAATTTTAACTCTTTCCATTTAAATTTTTAGGAGGAGTAAAAAGAGTTGTCAATTTTATATTTTTGACACTCGTACAAAATTCAACGGTACTTATTTTCACCGGACGGAATTCTAAGCATAATTCTGAAAATATGTGAAGTTTCAGTAAATAAACCTTCCGAACAAGGTAACAATGAATTATTAAAACGATATTTTCCCAAGAAAGTCGCAGGATAAATTTTATCATTATAACTGACGGATCAAACTTAACGAACTAACATTTATATTTATACTAAAATTAAGTTGACATTTATAAATATTTTGTATAATTTATTAAACGAAACAAAACCTCCGTGTCCTGTTCTTCATGCTTCTGGGTTGGTACTCAGTTAGCTCTGAGCTCGTAGAACACTAAAACTATAATTCAATTAATTAAGGTTTTAAGTTGAGATAAAACAGTCAGCGTCACGAGCGGGATTCGAACCCACGACCCTCTGCTTGATACGCCGCTACTCTACCACTTGAGCTTTCGTGACTTCGATCCACTCGGGCACCAACTTCCTATCTCAACCCCACCTTCGAATAAACTAACTCTCTAAAAACTCGGACTAAAAATATAATTATGGCGGTTCTAATAATTTATACCATCGCATGTATCACGTTTATCACAGTGGACACTCATGTCTATTAAATTCATTTTTATGAGATAATGACATCCTCGTACTTAGAAGCCGTGAACTATGTTGCCATCTAAATTCGATGGAACCTTGCCGTGTCTTTACTTTTTCTCGATCAGACAAAAGTCAAGGTCACATAGCACCTCTTTTGAAACTCTTCAACGTGATCCCTTCTAGTTTTGGCCTGGCAAATTATCGGGCCATACAATCACTCTAACACACACTTTTATGAAGATCATCTTAATAAAACAAGAAGCTATCTCAGTTGCTTAATCATATTCTTGAAACTTCCATTATTTATCGAATCATCAATGCACATATTGTTAAAACATGTTTTAAATGGAATAGTCTAAGATGGGAACAAAACAGTTCGTTAGTCTAGATTCCATGCATTAAATAGCGAAAAAATGTGACACGGTTGTTTTATGGGGATCAAGGTGATTTTCCTTCTTTGTCTGATGAGGATCTGCAAATTTTATACGTAGTAAACATGACCAGCTCTCTAAGTAGTTAACATATCAATTTCATCGAGTGTACTAAGTATCTTTCTTTGTAAGTAGGATTTCCTTAGTAATTGTAAAATTCGCCCCAGAAGAAAGACAGAAAGTAAGTACTCAGCGGGAGTTTCACGTGCAGTTTTGACAACAGTTAACATTATCCGCTTGTATTATATGGCCTCCCGGTCCTATGGCCTTCCTAGAGATGCCTCAGAGGCTGTTGTGAAAGACATACGGTCAAGTTAAGTTGGTCAACAAAGCACCTATAAACTTTGAAGCATTTCAAGAACCAAAGGTTCTGATATTCAAGGACAGAAAAGGAAAAGCTCCGTCTATATTCTTTGCCCTCAAGGTTACTAGGTAATAATACGATAATACCTAGATATAACCTCACTGTATTCAAAATAATAGAGTGAAAGTTTGGATGTCTAAAAGGCGCCTGTAAACTTTAAAGCATTTCAAGAAAACAAAGGATCATCGTGTTCGAAAACAGAAGCGGAATCTACTTGAAAAGGTGAACACTGTCCGTAAGTACTAGGCCTCAAAGTTCATAAATAATGCCTAGATATAGTCTCAAAGGATGTAGTTGAAGTTATACTGTTAAAGTTTGGTTCATTTCAAGAACCAATTAAATGTCGTGAACGACGACAGAAGAGGAAAAGCTTTTAGAAAGAAAAAACCTTATGACCGACCACTCCTATGCTAGTCGGACCTTCATGTATAGTTGTGACAACTTGAACCTGTGAACCCTGTCCGTCTAATAGTCCTTAGCCTCAATATTCATAGGTAATGCCTAGCTATAGCTATATATAGCCTCTGAGGCCAAAGTCATAGTCATACGGTTAAAGTTTGATTGGTCAACAAGACGTCAGTAAACTTTGAAGGAGTTCAAGACATATCTTTTTCAGTGAACAGAATTTCCCTGAATAAAATAAAATTCGCTTTAACAGAAAGTCAGAAAGCATTCATTCAGCTGGAGCTTCACGTGACAACTTGAACATGTGAGCATTGCCCGTCTTTAGTATTCGCTCTCAAAGTTCATAGATTACTAGCGATAGCTTCAAGCTGTCAAAGCCAAAAAAAGTTCTATTGCTTCAAACCTATCTCCTTTGGTCACCGGGCGCGCCGAGCGAAGACCTGTCGGGAAAACGGTCGATGACCTCTTTTTTTTCAAGACGTACCAGGGCGCGGACGTCGAATTCCAGAAAGGAAAAAGCCCTCGGCTTCAGAAAGAGGACGCACCATCGGAAAGGCAGAGCCGGTCGATTATTATTAGCAGAGAGGAACGGGTGAACGGGTAGATGCAGCACTCCCAGGAGGGGAGTGGGATAGTGGGAGAAAGGGACGAGTGGGACTCAGCCTTTGATAGCCTCACAGGGACTCAGTGAAGGCTGAGAATTCCGGCCGTCCTGTTGGCGAAAATTCTCTTACACCTGTCACCAATTCCACGTCGGGCTCTTTCGACACTTGACCGGTTCCTAAAGGAGACAGAGAAAGCTACTTTGACGATTTTGTGTTATTTTTAAAAGTTTCAGTGCTTACCTGTGGTTTCTAGTGCACTACACCAATAGAATCAACGAGTAACTAGATTTTCCCCTTTTTTATATTCAAAATGGACTGAAACATTAGTCAAAGGTAAATTAATTTTTTTTTTACATATTTAAATATAGCAAATATTATTGCGAAACAAAACCTAGACATCCAACGAACACGTTTCGTCAACATCCATAGCAAACATCTGGACACGCTAAAAAACATTTCCTTTCTAGTCCAAGAAAAATAATTAATTATTTTTGAACCAGGTACGTCAGGGTAAAACGTGTACTCACTGTCGGGAGGTGGTTTGCGTTCAATTTTCCCCCTTTGGGTGTATTTAGATGAATCAGATCCATTCCAGGCCGGCACTCCGCGAGAATTGGTGATGATTGTCATCCGTTAGCGTACTGTGTAAATAGACGAGGATGGTTTATATACAAAATGCATTTAAAGCGATTATCATTTTGTTCACCGCTAATCTGGATATTTTCGTTTTGCCATTTTACCCGCAAAATCCTTTAAATTAGAAAGTTTTAACATCAGGTTTATTTTTTCATTTTATTTATTTATAGAGGTTGTTTTTTTAAACAGAATTTGTGCTAGTCGTAAATAACAGTTCGGCTAAAAGATTAATGGAGGATTGAAATGGCCTAGATTTGTTTTAAAAAGGTTACCTTTCTTAAAACAACATTTAAAGCTTAAAAACAGATAAACTCTAAATTCAAATAACATTAACAGTCACAATTGATAGAAAGGAAAACTAAATTTTAAAAACTTTTGACGATTTATGATAATTTAACAGCGGATTTTGTTTAAAAAAATCTCAATAGTTTGGACTCATTTCTGTTTTTTAATTGCCGAGATTGTAAACCTGTTTTTGCAGTTTCCCCCTTCTAATCAATATTGGGAAATGAAGCTAAAACCAGAGAAATCACAATAGAAATTGTCATTATTTCAAGTGGAAATCGCTAAAAATTAGATTGCTCAAAATGTTTAAATTATACAAAATTTATAATTACAGTAATACGTAGTTGGTAAATAACGCTTTGGCTGAAATATGAAGATGAATAGGCTTAGGATTTATTTGAAAAAAAATTGTTGGAAGGGACCTTCCTTTCCTCATATAGGCTGGTACACTTACAAACTAACAAGGGGTGGCTACGGACGTGGGATCACCGATTTTAATAGAACATTTTTTGCTATATGTATATGTTTTTACTGCCGTTGTCTGGATGTATTTGTGTTATACCGCAGGATAAGGATTGTATTGAATGGGATTGTGTATACATCCAAAATCTCAAAAACCTGGGGAAACACAACAACCTGATAATATCGTGGGTGCCAGGGCACAGGGGAATTTGTGGGAGGATCTGCAAGATCGTGCATAGGCCCCGAACCTATTCTTGGGATAACAAAAACAAATATAGAATCCTCCATCGCAGAATGGATCCAAACAAAACAAAAGGAGAAGTGGATAAACTCTAGCGGTGCACAGTAAACTTATGATTATGACCCTCACCAAGACTGGCCAACTCACTGCTGCAATTGGAGAGGTCTACACTCAGAGGAGTACTAACCGGTCACTGGCATCTGAGAAAACATCTACGCAAATATGGGCAAATGTAATGATGATTCCATCTGCAGAGTATGCAATGACTATGAGGAAAGAGCCACCCATATAACATACGAACAAAATCAAGGGACTGAAATTGTAGCAGAGACAGTCAATAATGACCTGATACTTCAAGGAAGTAGTCTATTGCTCTGAACTAAAGAACTAGGAAGGTACAATAAGCCAGAAGGCTGCAGTGCCTGGGGAGCACAAGCCCCGCTTCCTTATTACAATACCATACCTTAGTAAAAGGTCCTTCGCTAAAACTGACACAAGGTGCTACCTACTACACATCATGGGTATATTTAATGATGACTCCATTCATAGGCTATTCAAAGAGAAAGAAGAAACTACCACCCGTATTATCTTCAGAAGCGAAGCAACCACTCACTGGAGAAGACCAAGAAGAACGAAAAAATGAATTGCAGCAATGGCCTAATTATTAAAAGAAGGATCGAGTCACTTGAACTAAGGGATTAGGAAACGTATAAAAAGATAAAAGGCTGGTACTTGGATATTATCAAACCCCCGCTTCCATGAATCCTTATTAAAATCATTCTCATCATCAACAGCAAATCTGTCGCCTTGCAGATGAAGCTAGTTTAATTTTTTTTCTAAACCTAAATCTCTTTAATACATGTACTTTGGTTGTTTGTGATTATCCTATTCTGCCTAGCTATTTTGGTTTGTTTTATATGCTTCGACAATTTGCCATCTTCAGTGGTCGGTTTGTGAATATAAATGTGATATTAAGCTAGATATAACATAATATAATACTTGTTCAGGGTAATTTGTTGGTATATTGAAGTACGCAAAGCGCAAGACACTACAAATTTCCCAAAATCAAGTATCCAGAGCATGTGGTATGGTACACTAGACCGAATCCTTGTAACTTTAATTCAATCTGAACAGTGGTTACATATAAAACAACGACATAGCCATCACGTCAGACAGCCAAGCCTAGAACATGAACATGTCCAGCTCGAAGGTGGATGACATCAAATAGGTTGGGCATGTAAAACAGTAACTTATGATTATGACCATCACCAAGACTGGCAAACTCACTGCTGCAATTGGGGAAGGCCAAACACAGAGGAGTGGTAGGACTACTAACCGGTCACTGGCATCTGAGAAAACTTCTACAAAACATCGCATACAGCGATGATCCCATTTGCAGATTATGTAATGAGGAGGAGGAAACAGACACTAATATCATCTTCGAATGTGAAGCAACAGCTCAATGGAGATTTAACCTAGCGTACGGAAAAAACTTAGGGAATCAATTGCAGCAGCGACAGTCGATGACTTGATACTTCTAAGAAGAAGGATTGAGTCTATTGCACTGAACTAAGGAACTAGGAAGGTACAATCAGCCAGAAGGCTGCAGTGCCTGAGGAGTGCAAACCCCGCTTCCTAGTATCTTTCTTCACCATACCATGTATATAAAAGCAACAAAATAGAAAAACAGTGTAAGTAAAGTATGCCTGAAAAATAGACCTTTGAAAAATATCATTTGGATTCGTTTCAAGCACCCATTAAATACGAATTTTTATAGCAAACAAAAATTAGACTTTCTTGGGCTGGATTTGCGGAGAGCAATTTTGTTTTCACAGATATACGTTGTTTCATTTAAAAATGTATAACTCCCCTGAATGTTATCCAAATTGAACGTTATACAGCCGCTGAAAAGCAGAATATTTCTTCGTCCATGCTATGTTAACAGCCTTTGTTTTTTATGCTATTATAAGGGGGATTAAATCAACAAAAACTGGCCGAACTTTTATTTTATTTCTCCAGTTCTAATTTATTCACGAAGTTAAAATTTATGTCATACGTGAATTCCTGGGGTTCTAAATTTCTGTCGTTTTGTGTGAATCGGCGGTGTTGATTTAAAGTTATCATCATTTTTGTTATTTTTAAAAATAAACATCTGAGAGGGGAAGGCAAAAATTTTAGGTTAAAAAAAATATTTGTTAATTTTCTCATAAATTTGAATTCAGGGTGGGACCCAGCCTTTGATAGAGGGACTTGTGACGGCCGAGAATTCCGGCCGTAGACCATCTTTGAGGTGTAACAAATGGGCATCCACTTTGCTTCTTTCCAAAAAAATAAAATATTTTATCGGATTTTTCCACGTCACTCGGTCACTACATCCAAATTGTATTGGGCAGCTAGCTACAGTAGATATTGAAATAATATTGATGGTCACAAAAACAAAATTTATATTCAGATTAATCACCAATTACAGCTCTTAAAAAGGAATTCCATTGTTGAGTCTATTGTTCCACTTGAAAATTTACAGCACCTATTGATTACATTCAAATTCGACTTTATTACAATCAGAAAGCTTAAATTCACTTCTTGCGTTAACATTGTTTAGATTTTATATTGTAATAATCGAGAAAAATTAGGATGAAATCAACGAAAACTTCCCACACGTTTTATTTTATTAATATTGTTCTAATTTATTTACCAAGGCCAAATTTGTGCCGTTACATGTAAGATCATAGGGGTTTAAACCACTGTAAACTTCCCAAACGGAACCGTAAACAGGTTTCAAAGTTATCACGATTTTTGTGATTTTCGAATAATATTGGATACTCAATTAATTATACACAATTTTTCATTTCGAAAAAATTGTGTATAATTAATTGAGTATTTATATATTTAAATAGAAGCTGATAAAATAATTAAAAATTTAATATTGGAGACATTTGGAAGGAGAAAAATTTGAGAGATTTTGACTTTATTTTTATCAAAAATTTTTATTCATTGTTTCTTGATAAAATAGAAATACTTCAACTTACTTTGCCAAATCAAAATAATCAATAGGCGGGCGAGTAAAAATTGTTATTTATGAAAACCAATGTACAAAATATTTTTTCCAAAATATATTTTCTCTCCGAGAGACGTAAAATAAGTAGAGTTGAATATTTTTTGAACAAGAAACAAAGTTGATATTCGCTTTCCGCACCACAAAAAATCCCTGAATTTCATTTTATGAGACACTCAAAAAATAATTTTTCGCCTTCTAAATTGTCCGCAGTTTTTTTCGAAATTTGAAAAATTGCGGTATCTTCAAAACGACTTCACTGATCCACAAGAAACTTCCGCGGATTTAATACCCCATGAACTACACATATAGTACAAATTTCAACTCTGTAAATAAATTACAATTCGAGTAATAAAATAAAAGGTTTAGGGAGTTTTAGTTTATTTCATCCTTATTTGCTTCACTTAAAATGGCGTAAAATCAAAACCTTGTTGACGTAGGGTGAAAGAGGAGATACTAAACTTTCTAAGGTCTAAATTTGGACAAAATCCAGAGAAGTTATGAATTTTTAAGAACATTAGACATTAGAGATTTAAAAAAATGGCCCCTACGTATCCAGCCTAAAAATGTTTATTTTTTATTGTGATAAATATCATATATAAAGTTTTAAAAGGGTACTTAAAACGAATTGAAATAGTTTTTCTCATTGAAAAT